AAGCCAAAGAAGAGCCCGCGCGACTCAGAAGAGCTTCCCCTCACCGAATACTGAATACCCCGAAAACTCCGGGGTTAGGATTAAGGGTTTAGGGTTTAGGGCTAAGGGTTTAGGGTTTAGGGCTAAGGGTTTAGGGTTTAGGGCTAAGGGTTTAGGGTTTGGGCGCTTAGGGTTTACGGTCTAGGGGGGTGAGCCCAGAGTGAGAAGATTCCAGGGCACGTCTGGGTAGACCAGGAGCTGCTCCGGATAGGACAAATTCTGCCTGAGAGGTTGTTGAGTCTCAGGCTAGTTACATGGTCCCTTAGCACGGGCCCTTCGAAGGGGCCCCTTACATACCCCTTACCCTACTTTGGAGTAGACCTTGGAAAAAAGTATGTACTTGTTGGGTATAAGTAGCTATACTCGGAACCCAGAACCACGAACATGTATTAAAACATAGTACTCTAACCCTAAACCCTAAGCCCCAAACATCCCTAAGCCCTAAACCCAAAACTCAGAAAAAATATTAATAATAATAATAAGAATAAGAATAAGAATAATCATAATCATAAATAATCATAAACGCAAAATAAAAGCAGAAGAATAAACCTACCAAAACCCATACATCAGAACCGAGCGCTGGTCATCTCGGCACGGGGCTTCCGCGAACTGCTCTTCCTAAACCCTAAAGCCTAACCCTACCAAGCCCTCAGCTAAACCCTAAACCCTAAACCCTAAACCCTAAACCCTAAACCCTAAACCCTAAACCCTAAACCCTAAACCCTAAACCCTAAACCCTAAACCCTAAACCCTAAACCGATGCTTGCTCTTTGGGGCGCTTCGAGGGTTCCAGGTCTCTGGGGCTGCGAAAGCGCGGGATGATTCCTTCAAGGTGCCCTCTGCCCGATAGGGTTTAGGGTTTTAGGATTTAGTGTTGAGGGCTGAGGGTTTAGGGTTTATTTAAGCTTGGGGTTTAGGGTTTAGGGTTTAGGATTTAGTGTTGAGGGTTGAGGGTTTAGGCCTTAGGTTTTAGGGACCCTTACGAGGATGTCACCAGATTTTAGTCGAGTTACCCCACCTACAACCCTGATTTCAAGTACCCATGATCCTCCAAGTAGACCCGAAACCCTCAACCCGCGGCCCCACACCCTGAACCCCTCAAGCCTAAACACCTGAACCTCTGAACCCTAAGTTTAAACCCTGAACCTTACAATCCCCCTAGGGTTGTATGTCTGTTAGGTGGGCCATAGGTGAATTGTTGGTCCTCATTCTGGTCAATAGTTGGTGGTCATTTTGGTGGGTCCATGGGGGAGGCTCATGGTTTTTCAGGGCGCTATTTTAGCGTTTCTGTGGCGTGGGCGGGGCTTGACAGGGCCTGGATTTTGGGTTTAGGGCCGGACTAAACCTGCGAAATTCCCGGAGCCAAAACCCAAAGATCCGTAGCATCCTAGAACCCCTGGAAAAACACAAAGCGCACCTGGGTGCGCTATGTGGGTGGCTGTCAATATTCCTTCTTCCAGGAACGGCGGATGCTGAAAAAATCATGGTGCCGCCTTATGACGAGAAGGAAAACGAAGGTCTGGAACGATGGCTTTGGCAAGTACAAAAGTGTAGTACTAATTCTTGCTCCTTATGCAAAAACCCGCAAAACACACTAGCGCCGCCATTTTAAGACTCAGGCATCGTCATCGGAACTATTGGAGCTACTTGAGCTCGAGCTAGTAGTGCTTTGCTCTTCCAGGTTGGCCATGTTTCAAATCAGCTGTCTTAGTACTGCTTTATGTCTTGGATGAGCAAGTGGCCACCGCAAGCACTTTCCCTTCATATTTGCTAGCGCGATGCTAGCGCCAACCTAGCGCATATTTCGCCGCATGACTTTAGAATTTTGGCACGCCGGCAGTATGCATCAGGAGCAACCACAGGGCTTGGGGTGTAGGGTTCAGGGTGTGTAACCCAATGTTCCACAGTCTTACCTAAGCCGCAGGCCGCCTATACTACTTAAGCTTCCCGAAGCTGGATCGCTCTAAACCCTAAACCCTACACGCTAAACCCTAAAATGTTCGCCTTTGGAAAGGAACACCTAGCGCCACGCTAGCGCTGTCCTAGCGCCTACATGGGGAAGAGCCTGAAACCTGCATATACGCATGGTGCCGCCTTGTGGCGAAGACATAAACCAGCAAGAGCGGAACTTCATATCGCACTTCCATCATATTTTACATACATGGTATTTTGACGTCCGCCCATGTGAAGGCTGGGCTAAATCAAAGGAACACCACGTCTTTGCCACAAAACACAAATGCAACACATTTGCAGCCAATGACGCCTGCTTGTTGTGAATCATGCCGTTACCGCACTCCACTGCTGTGAGGCCGCTGGCTGGGAAAAAGATGCGGAACCCGACACTAAAACCCTCTACCTTAAACTTCTGCGGTGGGCTCGAATATTGCAAATGTAGAGATAAGATATTTTAATATAAGTTATGTGTTTGACTGCCTGTTTTTTTGAATGCTATGGATTAACACGGGTATCCAGGACGATTTTGTTTCTCACAAATTTTGCATGTTTTCGCTGAACATAATCTACGACAGGTCTGTTGATAAGGCTATATTGTGGCTATGTTGCCAATAGCGTCACACGGTGTGACACGGTGTGACACTATTACGTATGGACCCTGCGACACGGTGTGACACTGTTTGACACTGTAAACTATCTGACACTGTTTGACACTGTTTGACACTGTGTTGCTGAAATAGCGTCACACGGTTTGACACGGTGTGACACTATATTTTTCAGGCTGTAACTAAAGGGTTTTTAAGGATCATAACCGCTCTAATGCACCGCAACATGCGAGGTGAAGCAGTCATCTTAAGATGTGCTGCAAGGTCAAGGCAAATTACAGGTAGCATTTGTAAATAACTAAAAGTTACCAGTTATGAGTTCTAAGTTCTATGTTGTATGTTATACGAGCTATGCAATGCAAGTGTTGGCACGATATACGAGTGGTAGGCTATAAGTATTTATATGTTAAGGCTAGGTGACTGAATGGAAAGGGATACCCGAGGGAAGAATCACCAAGTCTCCTTCAGCTGTGCGTCGTGCATAATTGTCCAAGGAGAAGCGTTGGCGAGGGTTCATTTGGCCCATCTCGAAGGTATCACTGTAGGCCAAGCGGCCTGTCAAAATTTGTTGCTTCAGCCTCACGCGTTGCTGCTTGCTTGGCGGAGCGTTTTCCCGTCCTGGGCGTATGATGGGTAAGTTGGGCATTAGGCTTCTGGAGCGATTAGCAGAGGTGGCTCAAAGACGGCGCAAAGGTGGTTCCAGCGTAGATGGGAGACAGCGAGGCGCTTCAGAGTCCAGAGGTGCCGGGCACTCGCAAACTGCGCAAAAGTTTGCCACGGACCTCTCTAGCGGACTCTGGTGTCAGCGGCGGCGGCGGCGGCCCCCGCTGCGCAGCAATCTTGAGAGCATCCAAGGTACACGGTTTGTGTACGTTGTGTAGCCTGGACGGTTGTAGAACGTGCTTCATCGTCGGCTTTAAAGTGGTAGACGTGGACGGCTAGACATGCTCTTGCTAAAGCATTGGACAACAAAGCAAAAGACGTGCCATTCAAAACCAAAGCTCGCAACAAACAATCGCCACTGGCTGTGCGTTTGCTACATTTGGTTGCAACGCAGGACCTGTTCCTTTGACTTTGAACAGCCTTCACATGGCGCACCCAGATGCGCTTCGGATTTTCCCATAGAGTTCACAACAAACTGGGGTCTCTGGGCACGAATATGCTACGTCTGCTACGTTTGTGTCGCGTGCTGTTCCTCTAACTTTGCACAGCCCTCACATAGCGCGCCCAGGTGCGCTTTGTATTTTTTCATATAGTTAACAAAACTGACAGCGCCTGACCAAGTATGAACTGCGGAGCTGCCACTCGTAGAACAGGTTCAAAGCAACCAAGCAAGTATCTCGGTGCGAATATGTTGGAGCTGCGCAGCCTGGCAACGCCATGGTGTTCCCAATTCTTTGCACCAGCCTTCACATAGCGCACCCAGGTGCGCTTTGGATTTTCCCATATGGTTCACAACACAGGGGTCTCTGGGTGCGAATATGCTGCGTCTGCTACATTTGTGTTATGTGGCAAAGACGTGCTGTTCCTCTGACTCTGACTGGTTTGCTATGGGTCACGGGGTTGGGCCATGTTGTGAGCATCATCGAACCGCTTTGGAACATCCACTCCCAACTTTTGCCCCAGAGTACTGGGGCGAGGCTTAGGGGGAAGCCTCGCCTGCCCGCATTTCCTCCAATTTAGCACCAGATCATTGGATAGACTTCACAGACGGGCTCCCTGGCGTCAAGCTATTCACCCAACCCCAGGCACGGTTAAACACCTGACCGCACCTTCTTCACCCGGCTGCCTTTGTCGGTGAAATGCAATCGGGCCAAAACTTTTTCGTCGACACGTTCAATGCAGCACCCACAATAAACAACTCGAGAGGGTTTTCCCTATCTATGGTGCATGGGGACCCACTGAGGCCCAATTCAGGGACCAACACGGGGACCAACTGGGGGACCAACTGGGGACCAACTGTGGACCAATGGGGGACCAACTGGGGGACCAAACAGAGAATCTCTGTAATCAACCCGAGGGGGATTGTAACCTGAACCCCTCAAACCCAAAACCCCAAAACCCCCAAACCCTCCAAACCCCCCGAGTTCACCGCTTCAGGGTCTTCCACCCGGTTCTGACCAGAACATAGCACTCCTCTGGGTGTTAGGGTTTAGGGCAACTAGGGTATGAGGGTTTAGGGTCTAAGGTTTAGGGTTTAGGGTTTAGGGTTTGGGGTTTGGGGTTTGGGGTTTGGGGTTTGGGGTTTAGGGTTTAGGGTTTAGGTTTCGGGCCTAGGGTGGTTCTTAGCGTGGGGATTGGGGAGGCTTCAGGGTTGCAGGGTTTAGGACGTAGTAGAGTTTCGGGTCTGAGGTTTTAGGATGTTGGGGAGGTAGGGCCCTCTACTATAGCCCCTCAGAAGGATCATCCGGGGGTCAATGCCTCATTAGCCAGTGAGAAGGCGCTCAGAAGGCTCCAAATGCAGAGCCCCCTTGAGCCGAATGCCCTCAAGTAAGGGCTTTAGGATTCAGGGGTTAAGGTCTCTTAGGGTTCAGGCATTTGTCTTCATGCCTCGGGTTTAGGATTTGGGGTTTGGGCTTTTGGGCTTTCGGAGTTTTTTAGGACATGGCCAGTTTGGGGCTCAAGGCTTAGGGTTTAGGGTTTACGGTTCCCCCGAATTTTGGTCCCTTGTTTGGGACGCCCTGAAAGTAAGGCTCCGTGTCGCAATAGGAACCACCCACCCAAGCCCTAAAAGAGAACCTCAACCCCTCCCCCTAAAAAATGCAAATCCTGGACAGCCAACACAAAAGCCCCAAAAAATCCTACAAGCCCCACAGATGGCCTTTAGAACCCTCCGAAACATATTCATGCAGATGATCCTCTTCAACCCAATAAGGGAAAATACACAACATATCCCAAGGGGCTACCCTAAACCTAAACCCTAAACCCTAAACCCCTAAACCCTAAACCCCAAACCCCAAACCCTAAACCCTAAACTTGAACCTGCCCCAAGCTCCTTCTTGGCAGCCGTGAAGGAGATGGACTGGGGTCGCCCGTTCGCGGCGAGAATAATGTCGTAAGTTCCTGCACAACCCGGGTTCTTGATAAGGAGCTCAAACTCAGCTGCCAGAACCGGGCTACATCAACTAAGTTCATCAAAAAGCCTAAACCCTAAACCCTAAACCCTAAACCCTAAACCCTAAACCCTAATTCCTGCAGGTGGGGTTGAGGGCAGTTCCGTCGCTTTTCGGGATGCTCGGAGTATGGCGCGATGGGCACTTTAGAAGCAGGGCAGGGGCTCCTTTGGACAGGAAGGGGGAAGGGGGGAGGGCGGAAGGGCGGGAAGGGGGGGGAAGGGGGCACCCCTGCTACCACGAAAGTCCCCCCAAAAAACGGCCCGAAAGCCGGGTTTGACTTTCGGGTTTAGGGCTTAGGGCTTAGGGCTTAGGGCTTAGGGCTTCGGGCTTAGGGCTTAGGGCTTAGGGCTTAGACCTGTAGAACCCCTGCAAGCGAAGGCGATCCTGAGTTGATGCCCGTGGCAGTGCCGAACGAAAGCTGCTCGCTCCTGGCGCTTGAAGAGGCTGGTGGAAGTCGTCAAGCATAACCCATAACCCTAAACCCGAAACCCCAAACCCTAAACCCTATGTGCACGGGACGGGGACTTGATCGCTGCATCTGGGCACAAGATGCAGGAGTTCAGGAGATCTGCCAAGTTTAGGGTTTAGGGTTTAGGGCTTAGGGTTTAGGAGCAGTCAAGCGCAGCTTGCAGTAGCTGAAAGGAGTAGCTGGGTTGCAGTGCGCTCAAAGCCCCCCTCGAAGAAGCACTTCTGTCTGCCGAATCCCCCAAAAAGTACAAAACATTCCTCCTCATAAGGGGAATATAGGGATGATTAGCACTCTTACGACTATTTGCTCAAGAACCCAAACAAATACCAAAATGTTCAATCTCATAAGGGTCATGTAGGAATTTTACAAGGGTAATATCGGGATTCTATAAGAGGTAACAAAGGGAGTTGCGTTTATGTTTGTTGGGGGGGTTCTTAAGCAAATTGTAGAGCTAGTTTGCATCCCTAAACCCTAAACCCTAAGCCCTAAACCCCAAACCCTAAACCCTAAGCCCTAAGCCCTAAACCCCAAACCCTAAACCCCAAACCCTAAACCCTAAGCCCTAAGCCCTAAGCCCTAATCATGGAGGCCCCCGGACAAGAAGTGGCAGGATGCCCCCCGAAACCGAAACCCAAGACACGCCACTTTTAGGGTCTTAGGGTTTAGGGTTTAGGGTTTAGGGTTTGGGGTTTAGGGTTTAGGGTTTAGGGTTTAGGGCTTAGGGCTTAGGGTTTAGGGTCAGGGTTTGGGGCCTCCTCCCAGAGCCCTGAGAAATGTGGCTGAAGCCCGCACCTGCTCTCGTTTCCGCCGACAGTGGAGATGCCTCGGCGCGTCGCGCGCGTGTGCGCGTGGAACTGCAGGCGGGGGTGTTGGCTGCAGGGTAAGGGAACAATTGAAGAAGCATGAGGATAAACCCTAAACCCTAAACCCTAAACCCGAAACCCTAAACCCTAAACCCTAAACCCTAAACCCTGAACCCTAATCCCATCTTCCAGCCCTCTGGCGCTTACGACCTTAGTGTCCTGAGATGTCCTGAGGTCCTCAGCAGCTTCGGCCAGGCTTCGGTCGCGCTGGGCGCATGCTGGGAGCTCCCCAGATCATCAGATCATTCTCGGAGGGTTTAGGGTTTAGGGTTTAGGGTTTAGGGTTTAGGGTTTAAGGTTTAGGGTTTAGGGTTTAGGGTTTAGGGTTTAGGGTTTAGGGTAACTATGGTCATAGCCATATTTGGGGTACTGATGACTCCACACTTGCAAGCACCCGCTTATAGGCACCCATGAAACAGCAAGTCGTTGCCCTTAGTATCAAGCTCCATACTGTAGGAGTGCCCCCCCCCCCCCCCCCCACCAAAAAAGGTACCATAACCCCAAACCCGATAACCCTAAACCCTCTCCCCTACACCCTAAACCATAACCCGAAACCCTATAACCCTAAGCCCTACACCCTAAAACCCCAAGCCCTAGAACCCTACACCCTAAAACCCTAAACCCGATAACCCTAAACCCTATGCCTATAACCCTAACACCCTCAAAAAGGTACCCTTCGTGTCTTTTGGCAGCCCCATGGCTCATGTTCGACTCGGGCCCGTTGTAGGCATCGATGACGGCAAGCTGCGCCGTGTCCGCGGGGGCGAACACGTGCGACCTTGGCCAGGAAACTCCTAAACCCCAGTTTAGGGCTTAGGGTTTAGGGTTTAGGGTTTAGGGCTTAGGGCTTAGGGTTTAGGGTTTAGGGTTTAGGGTTTAGGGTTTAGGGTTTAGGGTTTAGGGTTTAGGGTTTAGGGCTTAGGGTTTAGGGTTTAGGGTTTAGGGCTTAGGGTTTAGGGTTTAGGGTTTAGCGTAACTCCTAAACCCTGGTTCCCAAACCCTGAGCCTAAACCCGAAACCCCTCCCAACCCCAAACCCCCAAAGCTCTTAAATGCCAAAGACCCCCAAAGCCCTGGGGCCCTATGATGCTTACGTAGCTAAGGGATGCACGGGCCTGGTGGCCTTCTGGCCATGACGAGCGGGCTTCGACCTGGTTCCACTGCGGCCTCAGCCAAGGGTGGTCGTGCCGCTGCAGTTTACCAGGCTCGCAACGGGAGCACCTGCGCACGCCAGGCCCAATGATGAAGGGTGAGCGCCCGCAGCCGCCAAAGCATGAAAGGCTTTGGGACAGGCGCTGGCGATGCAGAAGGGATTGGGCAGCAGCGGTGTGCTTGCTGCAACTTGGAGGGCTGATAGGACAGGGACCCGTAAGCACCTTAAACCCCCAGACCCCCCACAATCCTGAGCCCCTGAACCCCAAAAAACCCCCTAAACCCCTAAGCCCTGAACCCCTGAAACCCCCTAAAACCCCCCAAACCCCAAAACCCCCCAAGTCCTCAGCCACTTTTTTGCAGTCCCCCAAACTTCGCTTCCTGAGTCCCGAGACTGTGTTGCAGGCCCTCTAGACTGCCATGGTTTCCTGAAGTCGCAGGGGCCCTCTTGCTAAACCCTAAACCTTTCGGGGTTTAGGGTTTAGGGTTTAGGGTTTAGGGTTTAGGGTTTAGGGTTTAGGGTTTAGGGTTTAGTGTTTAGGGTTTAGGGTTTAGGGTTTAGGGTTTAGGGCCGTTAAGGGTTCAGGGCTTAGGGCTTAGGGTTTAGGGCTTAGGGTTTAGGGGCTCAGGGGCCCCCCAGGGGTTCGGGTCTTGGCTAACCGCTCAACCCTGAACAGCAAACCCCCAAGAAGGCTTCACATTTGTTCAATCCGGGATGTGGGGATTTTGAAGGGTCCGTAGGGGTACCGGGTATTCGGGATACGCGGGGTACCCCCCCGAATGTATACCCATTGGGGAGACCTTACAATACAAGCAAGCCTGAACCCTAAACCCTGGATTCGTGAGCGAGGCACAAGAAATCCAGTTCGTAGCCGGACTGGCTTGCAAGGGCTGCCCTCTTGTGCGCCACGAGGACAAAGATGGCGTCATGCTTTGGGACGTCATACACCTGACTTGGAGGTTCAGGGGTACTTATACGCAGGTCTATAAGTACCCTAAGCAAGGTTATACCAATAGCTGCCCTACTTAACACCCTAGTGTGAACCTCCAACAAGTACTTTGGAAAAGGAGACTCTCGTAGTTCAGGAACAGACCTCAAGTAAGACAAGGAACCCCTAGACCCTAACCCTTCCCCCAAACTCCCAAACTCCCAAACCCCAAACTCCCAAACCCCTAGAAACTCCCCAAAAGTGCTGGCAAGTGCATCAAAGAGGCCGTGAACACGCCGGCCGTGGCATTGCCACTCCTCATGTCAGGCCAAGTGCCAGGCTCGGGTTGCGGGTTTCGAGTGGCACTGCTGTCCCTAAACCCTAAACCCTAAACCCTAAACCCTAACTCAAAAAAAGGCCATCCTGCTGCCCGGAACCCCACCAAGAAGGGGTACCCCCTGTATCTAGTTCATGGTTGGGATGATATTTAAAACTTATTGTTCCATTCCTTATTGGGCTTAAGTACCCTTAAAATGTAAGATGTTACCCAACTATGACAGAGCTATCTTCCTTATTGGGTTTAAGTACCCTTATATAACATGTAAGATGTTACCCAACTATGACAAAGCTATCTTCACAAAAGAGAGCCAAACAGAGCAGAGGCGCTTGAATTCCAGGTTGTCACCAGCCTTCAAGGGCTCGTCGAAGCTGTTGCACTGGAGGTACCTCTACTAGGGCCACTTGGAAGCTCACCATCATGAACCCTAAACCCTAAAACCCTAAAACCCTAAAACCCTAAAACCCTAAAGCCCTAAAACCCTAAAACCCTAAAACCCTAAAACCCTGAAATCCTGAAACCCTGAAACCCTAAAACCCACCCTGAAACCCTAAAACCCTAAAACCCTGAAACCCTAATCAAACAATGATAGTGATACATTACGTTGGAAAACTGCATCTGCTGCATGGGACAGTTGATGTGATTGTAAAGGGTTAGGAGCGGAATTTAATGATTTGCCATCATTAGTTACATTTCGTTTAGATGATGGTTCAATTCATAGTGAGATATAAATACTTCGCACCAAAACAGTATACAATGGATTTGTTATTGATGCCAATTATAAAGGGTATTATGCTGATGAGAAAGGTTTAATATCATTGGCGATGGTACATTAATTAATTAAGCAATATTTTGTTGTGGTCTTGGATACTTCTCTAAGAAACCCTCACGAACCTTCATCTGGTGAGTATTTAGTTGCACTACGTATTGATAGCACCCTGTTCGTGCTTCAGCACTTCTACCGTCCAACAACCACATGAAACGTGACGAGATGCATCGGGGTTGATCTGCGTTACCGTCCCGAAAGCAGGGTCTCCATCCAGACCAACCTCCCCCCCCTGCGCATGACCTGCATACCCTGAACCCTAAACCCTGAACCCTAAACCCTAAGCCCTTAGCCCTAAGCCCCAAACCCTGGCCCCTAAACCGTCAACCCTCAACCCTAAACCCTAAACCCTAAACCCTAAACCCTAAACCCTAAACCCCCTCAGAGGATGAGGTTTCTGGTGCAGCAGAGGGCACTGCAAGGGCTCCTTCGTCAGCAGAGAGGCGCCCTTCACCTCCGGAGGCTCCGCGAAACCCACTCCAGGGTTTAGGGTTTAGGGTTTAGGGTTTAGGGTTTAGGGTTTAGGGTTTAGGGTTTAGGGTTTAGGGTTTAGGGTTTAGGGTTTAGGGTTTCGGGTTTAGGGTTTAGGGTTTAGAGTTTCGGGTTTCAGGTTTCGGGTTTCAGGTTTAGGGCTTACGGGCAAAAACACCTTCACGAAGCTCGAAAATCGAGGCCCCTCGAGGCAAGAAAGGGGTACATGGGTCATTTTGTCAGGCAGGGCTTTCAGGCAGTACTCTGTAGCCATGGCTGGTGATCATCGTACTTAAGGTACTTCTGGCCCTACTTAGCTACATAAGTACCCTGAACATCCACAAGTAGCTTCGGCTTGCCAGGGCCTCAAGTGAGCCTTATAGCAATAGGATCATTGTACGTGTGGGGAAAGCTTCCTGCACATCCACTTCAAGGGAGTCCACTGAGGCCGTCGCCACGTCGAGAGACTTCTCGGAGGGGAAGGCATTGCACACACGGAGCTGCTGCTGATAGTCCGCGGCCTGCCAGGGCCGGCGGACGTTGGGACTTCGGAGGCTTCGGAAGGCTAGGAAGCTGGCGGGGCCTGAGCCGACGTCTGGGGTTTATATAGGGGTTATGTGGGGTTCATATGTATGGCCCATAGAGGGTTCATGTAGGGTTATACGTAGGGCTTATAGAGGGTTCCGGGCTTATTGAGGGTTCATACAGGGTTCAGATTATTGGGGTTCATATGCAGGGTTTATATAAGTGTTTAATAGGTTGCTTAGAACATGTCGGCCTTGAGCACCGCCTGCGTCCGCATGTGCCCCGCGCGTGCCGCGTGGGCACCGAGAGCGGCCAGCAGCAGGCGGAGCCTTTGCTTTCGCGTCAGGGACGGCTTCAGTAGGGTTTTAGGGCTTGAAATTTTCCCTCCTTACCCTACTGATAAGCCTACGTAGAAGTACCTGTCGAAGTACCCAGATCTACCCCTCATGCGACCTAATCAAAGACCAAGTGCCCGTACTTCCCTAAACCCTAAACCCTAAACCCTAAGCCCCAAGCCCTGAACCCTAAACCGGGGAAGGGACCATATTTAAGGACCATGGAACTACCCGTAGACTGAGTTGACCCTCATTCGTCGAGGAGCGCATGGCAAGAGCCAGGTTTAGGGGCATATGGGCTCAGGAGTTTACGGTTTAGGGGTCATCTGAGGCAATCAAACACTCTCCATGTCAGGGTTCAAGTTTTATGCCATGAGGCAAGCCCGACCGTCTTTGTGCAAACAAGCCCCACACCCAGAAACATCTCCAACTTCCAAACTGCTTTCTGGGAGGGTGGGGTTGGGGTTTAGTGCAAGTTTTGGGTTTGCTTGGAGGTTCACCAGTAGGGTTCTAAGTAGGGTAGCTAGAGTTCTAGGTTCTAGCCCTGCCTTCTTGGGGTACCTACAACTCCCCATGAACCCCCAAGTGGGCGGTTTAGGGTTTAAGGTTTAGGGTTTAGGGTTTAGGGTTTAGGGTTTAGGGTTTAGGGTTTAGGGCTTCTTCAGGGTCTAAAGTGCCAAGGAAGCATTGTCGGCAACTCCGGGGAGGCAAGCGCACTCCGCCTCCTGCGAGATAAGTTGCCGAAGAAGACATCGAAGCAATGTGGTCAGATAGTTGTGGGGATTCCGGAATACCCCTAAACCTTGAACCTTAAACCCTAAACCCTGAGCTCTAAACCCCAAGCTCCAAGCCTAATCAGCGATCCTACTCCCCCATCGCACTGGTTGAGTCTGAGTAGGCATCATCCCCGCACATATCGCGGCTTTCTTCCCCCCAAAAAACCCTTCAGAGTCTAGGGTTTAGGGCTTCCGAAGCCCCTAAGACCCCCCTAAGCCCCTTCACTCCCCCTACTTCTCCCTTCTTGAAGGTCTTTGGGCCGGGGTCTTTTGTCGGTGTTGGAGCTTGAGCCCCCAGGTGTCGGGGATTAAGGCACCAGTTTGGGAGATTACCAATAGCATCCCCCCCCCCCGGCTCACCCCTGCACAAGTAGACGATACGAACTAGCACACCAGCATTCGTCAGCCGAAAGCCGGATCTTGAAGCCAAAGCTCCACACATTTTGTCAATACTCGCTTTAGAGTTTAGGCTTTCGGGTTTAAGGTTTAGGGTTTAGGGTTTAGGGTTTAGGGTTTAGGGTTTAGGGTTTAGGGCTGTAGGGTTTAGGTTTTAGGGTTTAGGGTTTAGGGCTGCCCTCACAGAAGACAAAGCTGTGGCCTCTACTTCAGTGGGATCGGAAGGCCAAGGGACACTTGATCCAATGGCTGCTGCAAGCCCAACGTCCGCAAAAGACAGAAGTAAGTCCAAAAGCTGCCCTAAACCCTCAACCCGAAAACGGCACCCTAAACTTCCCTAAGCCCTAAACCCTAAACCCTAAACCCGAAACCCGAAACCCGATACCCTATAAACCCTAAACTTCCCTAAACCTTAGGAGCCCTTCAACTGAAGTCCTCGTAACCCTATGAGCACGGAAGAAATGGAGCCACGAACCAGCTCTGGTGGCTCATACGGAGGAGGCAACTGGTTCTTCATGGGTACTTATCAGTTAGGGTTCAGGGTTTAGGGTTAGGGTTTAGGGCTAGGGTTTAGGGTTTAGGGTTTAGGATTTAGGGTTTAGGGCTAGGGTTTAGGGCTTGGGCTTTCAGGGTCTTCAGGGCGTTCAAGCCCTGGATGTCCTTGACACCCTAAAGAAGAATTCACTGTTCTTGGAACCCTTCAAAACAAATCTTAGGCGCATTGATCGTATACAAATTACGTAGGACCAACTTACACGTCAATAAGCTAACCCTCAGCCCTAAACCCTCAACCCAAAACCCTCAACCCAACACCCTCAACCCCAAACCCTAAACCGTAAACCCTAAACCCTAAACCCTCAACCCTAAACCCTAAACCCGAAACCCTCAACCCAAGAGCATTGGGATTCTTGCGCCGGACCATGCCTGCCGGGTGGCTGTCCCCGGGGCCCCGCCCTGGCAACGATCATCGGGGAAGGTAGAGCTGAAGTTTTCTCAAAGTCGGGTTTAGGGTTTAGGGTTTAGGGTTTCGGGTTTAGGGTTTAGGGTTTAGGGTTACATATCCCCGAAACCTACAGCGCCTCAAGCTCGCAGGACATAGTCCTGCGACCCGAAACGTGGACTGGCCACAAGCTTCGCTGGACTCGGAATCTGAGGGTTGAGGGTTTTAGGGTTTCAGGTTTCAGGTTTAGGGTTTAGGTTTTAGGATTTAGGGTTTAGGGTATATGATGAGCAAGTAGAGCTGCTCTGGGTGCTGGCAGATAGGGTGCCGGTGGAATGCGGACGAGCGCTGTGGCATATTTGTCTTGCACTATCGTACTTGCTGCGCGTGCAAGCCACGTGTGCCTTTACGCTGGGTCGAGTTCGCCCTCATCGCATCGAAGCTGCCACACCAAGTCTAATCCATGACTTGCCTCATCATCATCACTTCCATCCCATTTAAGCAGACCGGCAGGTTTCAGGGGAGGTGGTTGGTCCCGCCCACATTCTGGCCCACCACGTAGAAACTTGAACCATGCGCCGGTCCTGTCAATCATTCTTTGACTCCTTCCCTCAGATGCGGGGCTTAAGCCCTGAAGCACTGCCCTAAACCCTAAACCTTAAACCCAACCCTGCACCCTCCCTGTAGCCCCTAAAGGCCTCAACCCTCAACCCTCAAACCATCAACCTTCTACCGGAATTAAGTGCAAGTGCCTTGGAGCCTGGTACTTCTTCCACATGGAGGCTTTCGAGGCCTCCACGGCTTTGGGTGGAGGTCTCGGGGCTGCTCGTTAGGGTTTAGGGTTTAGGGTTCAGGGCTTAGGGATTAAGCCTGTTTTATAGAGGCCTTTTTTAAGGCTTTGGGCCTGCAATGTAGGGGCCGTAAGAGATAGAATAGGGTTGTTGGGGCGGGGGGGGGGGGAATTTGTATAGGGACCATCAGGGAAGACTATCAAGAAAATATTCCGACCCCTATGGTGCTTATGCCGGAGGAGCCGCACACATTACAAAACATGCTAATGTAAGAAGTAGGAACTTCGGAACAAATTCGGACCCCTCCCAAACCTCCTTTCCGGGGCTCAGATCAACAGCTTGAGGTCCAATGAGGGGGTGCTTTTGGCAATCGCAGACGATGAGAGATTCAGGCTTTCGCGCTCGGATGATATGAGCATGGTGACCCTCGGCAGAAACACCCTACCCTCAGAATTTGTCGAGCCTTCTCTGTAGGGGAGGGCGGGGGCGGAGGTGGGGAACCGGATTTTCCTAAACCCTAAACCCTAAACCCTAAAAATCCTAAACCCTGGTTCCCTCGGGCTTAGGGAGAGGGCCTGGATGGCAGTGCCATTGGTTGTGCTTGGGATTTCAGGGTTTCCAAGAGCAGGGGCACTTTTGTTTTTTCTTATTGTCTTTTATTTTGGGGGGGGGGGGGGGGGGAGGATTTCCTTGAATAAGGACGAGCTCTCTTTTTGGTTGTTTGATGTTTAATTTGTTGTTTGGGGGGGGGGGGGGGTATGTTCCCCAAAATCCAAACCATACTTGGGGGTATGTTCGGGGACCTCCTATTTTTTGGGAAGCGCCCTGTTGAGATTTCCGGGTTGAAGGTTTGAGGGCTCGGGCGAGGGGGCAGCTTCAGTGGCTTGGGGCTCAGGGCTTAGGGTTTAGGGCTTCGGGTGTAGGGTTCAGGCTTTTTGGTTTCGAGGTTCGGGTTCAGGGTCTAGGGTTTAGCGTTTAGGGCTGAGGGCTTCGGGCTACCAACCCCAGAATGCCCGAAAATCTCCTGACCCGGCCCCGAAAGCCGACACACACACACACACACACACACACACACACACACACACACACACACACACACACACACTAAGCCTTCAACAGAACAAGTCCCAAGCACTCTGAAAACCCTCAACCCTCAACCCTCAACCCTCAAACCCTGAACCTGTAAACCCTAAACCCTTAAACCCTAAACTGTTAAACCCTAAAACCCACACCCTTAAACTATACATGTATATATATATATATATATTTTTTGTAGTTATCTTTATTTCCTTACTTATTTAGCTATGTGTAGGGATATAAAGCACCCAACTCCTGAAATTCCCTACGAAGAATTACTTGGAGGTTCATGGTGCTTATTAACCAACTAGAGCTGTACTTCTAACCCACTCATAAGCCCCTTTGTTAGAAGTACAGTTGTAAGCACAGGTATAGGAGAGCTTTAAACAACACTCTTCAAAAACTTTCTTCTGCTAGCGATTTTAGGGTTTAGGGTTTAGGGTTTAGGGTTTAGGGTTTAGGGTTTAGGGTTTAGGGTTTAGGGTTTAGGGTTTAGGGTTTAGGGTTTAGGGTTTAGGGTTTAGGGTTTAGGGTTTAGGGTTTAGGGTTTAGGGGCTAGTGGTTTGAAAAAGCCCTCTTCCCCACGGATGCCGCTGCGTTCAAGCCGGGGCCCCCCGCGGCCATGACAGCCACGATGCCGGTATAGGGTGTAGGGTATAGGGATAGGGTTTAGGGTTTAGGGTTTAGGGTTTAGGGTTTAGGGTTTAGGGTTTAGGGTTTAGGGTTGAGGGTTGAGGGTTGAGGGTTGAGGGTTGAGGGTTGAGGGTTGAGGGTTTAAGGTTTAGGGTTGAGGGTTGAGGGTTGAGGGTTTAGGGTTTAGGGGTTAGGGTTCCGGGTCTTCCGGGTTGGCAACCTATGGGCCTTGTTGCTTGCCTGATCATCCATGTTGCAAGAAATTGCGCCAAAGCTGGGCCAAACAACGAGGCAGTTCGGCGCAAGCTTGGGAACTGAGCACGCTGGCA